GTAAATCCTATTGCTCATTAATTCATTAGCCACCATTTATTGGACACTATAAATGTGGCAGGAACAGGAGGATCACTCATAAATTGAGCACATATTTAGTGAGCACCTGCTATGTGCCAGATGACTAGAGATTTTCTCATTCATCTGCCATGTGTTAATGGAGCACTATTACATGTCAGAGCCCTGGTGCTCATCCGTTTATCCCACACATATTTATCAAGCACTGGTCTGGCCACTGATAGACATGAACATAATGGATGAAATGGTTCCTGCCCTCATGGAGCTTGTGTATCCCTAGCATTGCAGGGTTGATAAGGTTTTGCCCCATTTTACAGCAGAAGAGACCAAGGACTCATAGTTAGCAAGCAGTTCAAAAGCCACATGGCTAACAAGTGGCAGTAGCAGTCTAGAGCCAAAGCCACAAAGCTGTGACATAGGAAATTCTAATAACCCTGCATCATGTTACAGACTCTGAATGGAGTTTGAGAGAAGGGTGCTCCTGGCTCTGGGGTCAGCTCACCTGGGGTCAAAACCCTACCTCTGCCATTTTCTAGATGTCTGTGCTTGCAGAGGCCCCCACCTAGCTGTGCCAGGAAGTCTCTACCTCCCTGGGTTGCCCTATAGCCAAGAGAACCAGTAGCTTCTTCTTCCAGTACAGTTCTTGGCACATAGGTGCACAGACAGGGGTTTTGTTGTAGTGACCATTGAATATCCCCCAACTTGATTATAGCACCAGCCCTGGAAGGCACCTTTGTGACCAGTGCTCACTCAGGCCTGACCTCTGACCCCTATTGTGGCAGGTATACCAGAAAGCTAACCCTTTCAGGCTAGACCATGCATAGGCAGTAGACACTGCTGGATGTCTCTGTGGCCTCTCATTAGAGGCCTCACAGTGCCACTTCCCAGTGTTTCTTCACGGCTGTCTCCAGCCACTCACAGAGCTTCTGTACATCATCCCTCTCCCCAGCCCAGGCTCGGAGAGGCAGGTGTGGCATCTTGGTTATCTGCCATCCATTTCTCATGCAATTCCAGGAGAGCAGAGTTCCAGCCAAGCCAGGCCGTGCTGGAAAGATAGTGGAAGGAAAATGAGTCTTCCTCAGGCCCTTGGAGGACAACAGCCATGATGCATCTGACAGGCAGGGTTCAAAGCCAAGCTGGAAGGGAGCATCTGGCTTCAAACAGAAAACCTTGGGATCCTCGCTCCTAAGCCCTGCAAAAGGGGTGGAAATCCATATTAAAGCCCACAGTGGCTACACAGAGAGGAGTGAATGGCAGAGCTTCTTACATTGAAGGAAATGGCCCAGGCAGGAAAAGAAAGGGAGCCCAGAGATGTAGGTGGTTTCTGCATGGTGGAGCCAGGAGGGAGCACTCAAATACCGGTGGCTCTTTTCTTTCATTCCTTCCTCCCCTCCCTTCCTCAGCTTGTCTCCCTTCCTTCTCACTCTGCCTCACTTCTTTCCTCTCCAGCCCCCCCAAGAATTACACTTTAGGCTTCTGTTCCTGTTTCACACTGAGCCTCCAGAGGCACCCAACCATCCCAGAAACATGGACTCAGCTCACCGTGTCCCAAGACACTGGGTCCTTGGGCTCCCCATGACATTCAGTGGGGCCTGAGTGGTGAGCTGGAACACTTTGGCTTTCACACTTTGTGGAAGGCATCACTGGGGGATCTGGGGAGTCAGGAAGATTGCACACTCTGCTGGCAGATCTCAGCCCTGTGTAGCAGCACACACATCCTGGGCTCCTGGCTCCTTCTCTGTTCCCCTACCTGACCCCTCTTTGTGTCCAAGATCAAAACAGCAGATCATCATTTACATTTACAACCCCCTTCCCCTTTCCTTTGCCCCTTTGCCCCTTTGCCTCTTTTCCCTTTCCTCTCCTCCATCACCAATATCCCTTCCTCTCCTCTTCCTCCCTCCCTCCCTTCAACTTCTGTTTTGTTTGCTCTGCTCCCATCCTTCCACTCCCTAGCCACCTCCTTCTCATCCCACATCTCTGTCCTTCCTCTACTTTCCTCACCTTGGCTACTTCCTTTTCCTCATCTGCCTTGATTGCATTTAACACCACTTACTGACCATTTATTGTGTGCCAGGCTTGGTGCTAATTAAGGAGGGGCAGGAAGAGAGTCCGTCAGACCCTGTCATCTGAGCTTCCAGTCTGATTCTCCCACTCCCCTTCTGATGCCCGCCTTCTCCGTGTCCTTGCTCATCTTTACTGCCTCCTCCCCTTCTTCTTGTGACTCCTCTTCCTTCCTTTCCTTGTGCCCTGTGCTGGCATCTGCAGCCTGCAGTGGTGGTGGGAGCTGAGTGCACAGGATGGCAGAGTCCCGGGAGATTTGGCGGTAGGCGCCCCCCACCCCCACTCTGTCACCCCCAGGTGCCAGGCAATGGATGAGACTGAGTGCCCAAGTACATCCATCACGCTCGCCTCCTTTCAGGGCCAAGACAGGACGGAAATGACTTTTGTCAGCTCAGCAGCAGCTCACTGGCCCAGCAGCCCTGAGCTGTTTATTAAAAAGAAATAAATAAATAAACAAGGGAGTGCGATTGCCACCTTGCTGTGTATTTGGGGAGCGATTCTAAAGTGATGATGTTGACAAACATGCCTTTGGGTAATTATAAAAGAGGCCTCCAGCCCCTCTCCCAGCCCATGTCCCACTGTGATAGTGACAGAAAGTGACAGGCAAGAAATGGGAGAGGAGGCAGCTGCACCAGACAAATTGTGAGGCTTTTGCTTTAGCACATGGGCCCACCCTTCTTCCCCTTCTTCTTATACATGGTAAGATGCAAGGTCATCTGCCTGGTCAGCTTGTTTATGAACTTCTATGAACTTTTCTCCTTGTGTCCATCGACAGGGCCAGTGCTGGAGTCATGGATTGGAATAACAATTGCCATGAATGATTGAATGATTGAATGATTGAAGATTGATAACTGTCCATGATTGGTTATGAATTATCCCTCTGAGCTGTTCACTGTTTCTGAGTGATCTGATAGCAGGCATGGTATCAAGGGCTTTTCCTCATTTTCCTCCCTGACCATGAAGTCTGCACTCTGAGTAGCGGGTGGGAGGTGGAAGGGTGGCTCCCAGCACAGGAACCGAAAATGCAAACTTCAGAAGCAGTACTCACTCATCCTGACCCAGGAGCAGCAGAGCAACGTAAAGTAAGGGGGGAGAAGGTTAAGATAGAAGGGCATGCTTGGGAGCCTGACCACTCAGAAATTGCTTTCAGGAGATGGTGAGCAGGTGGCTCACCTGCACGGCACCTTGAAGTTGCAGGTCTATGCCATGTCCAGTCTGTGGTATCAACCCTCCACTACCCAAGTGACGCAGGGAATGCCCACCCTCATGAAACCCTTTAGCAGGACTCTTCATTGCCCCAGTGACCTCCCACAGGTGCTGGGTTGGGGACTCCTGCCAGCCTTGGAAAGGCTGCGAGTGGTTGAAGCTGACTTCAGGGGCTCAGAAAGGCAGGGTCTTAGTCCTTCCAGGCTGCCATAACAAAAAATCCTGTGGACTGGGTGAGTTATAGACAACAGAAATATTTCTCACAGTTCTGGAGGTTGGGGAATCCAAGATCAGTGTGCATAGCTGGTTGTCTTCTGTTTGCCCACATGTGGAGGAATGGCTGAGATAACTCTCCGTGGCCTCTTTTATAAGAGCACCAGGCGCATCCAGGAGGCTCCACCCCCGTGACCTATCCCCAAAGGCTCCACCTCCTAATACCATCACTTTGAGGGTGAGGTCTCAACATAAGAATTTGGGTCAGGTGTGCAAATATTCAGTCCATTGCAGTCCCTACTTCTTTCCCTGCAAAAGACCCTAACCCCCTAGCCAATCTACCCTCCAGTCCCCTCTGGGTCATCCCCTCCAGAGGCCTTTATCTTGGCTTCCTTCTCAGATTCCAAAGCCCACTGGGCCATGGCTGCCCCAAGCAATGAAGGGTGTAGGTGGTGATATTCAGCTGGGAGAGCAAGATGTTCTCCTTGGTTTATACCAGAATCCCAACCACCTTAGGTGTTGAAGAAGGCTGACTCCCACAATTGTCCCCATTGTCAGTCAGAGCGACATAGCTGCCAGAGCTGTGGGCCTAATCCTCGGCAGCCTGCACATAGCTCTCCAGCTCTCCCCAGGCCTGCAGCCACAGCTTTGTCTGCAGTGCCAGAATCTGACATTCGGCACTCCTTTCTGCTTTTTTATAAATTATTACTTTGCTGGTGGGCGGGAAAGGGGCAGTGTATCTTCGAGGGAGGACTTGTAGATTTTATTTGTTAAAGGAAAGGCTGATGGACTCCAGTCTCTCTGCTTTAAAGGATGCCCTTTATTTTCCAGTCTATAATTTTGCCCCACCGTGAGGCTCCTACTTTCTGGAGGCAGCATGGTTTTGGCTCAGCTGCTACAAACTCCCTCTGCGTAAAAGCTGGGGCTAGTACAGTCCCAGAATAGACACTGTCTGTCCTCATGTGTATAGATTTGGTTTTCAATTGAACTCATGTGACTCTTTTGCTTTTTGGGGGGACAATTTTTATCTCTGTTCCATCTCCATGAAACAATGGCAGGTGTCACAGGGAACCCCACTGCTCAGTGGGACTGTCCTCTGGGCCTGGCCCTCAATAAATAAATTACCTTCTGCATTTCCCACTCCTGTCTTGGAGAAGCAAATTACTTACTCCACAGTAGGCTCTGGTATGCTCAGTCCTATCATGTCAGAGATGATACCTCATAAATCTAAGTCATCCATTCTAGCTGAAGCGTTAATCTACTCAAATGTACTTAGCTGGGTTTAATTATAGACAGAAATTGCATTTCAGAAAGCAACAAGAAATCATTTACATGGCTTGAATTTGCACATTAAATCATACAGTTCATTTGAGAATGCAGTGGGGATGGCATTTCCAAAGAAAAAAATAATATTAGTGCCCACGCTCAGTGGCTCTCATACCAATTGCACAAATTGTATGAATTGCACAATTTCTACTGTCTTCATCTTTCTTCCTGGACAGGATGAATGCAGAGGCTGGAGATGCTGAGAGCAGAACCTGGGATGCTCATGGCAAGACTTCAAGAGACTACTCTGTTTCTCCCTGTTCTACCCGCCAGCGAAAGTCCTGTCATTTTGGGGGCTGTGAAGAGTTTGGTGTCCAGAGAAAGCCTATGGAGAGATCGGGAGCTCTGTCCACTCGTGAGGCCTCTCGGAGTCCAGACACATCCCCGCTGCCCAGGGAGAAGCTGCCCAGCCCATCAGCAGCACTCTCGGAGTTCGTGGAAGGACTTCGGAGGAAGAGGGCCCAGAGAGGCCAGGGCTCCTCGCTGGGCCTGGAGGACTGGCCCACGCTCCCCATTTACCAGACCACCAGCACTTCCAGGCTCAGGAGGGGCAGGGCGGGCAGTGACGAGGGAGACCTCTCCCTGAGGCTACAGGCCAAGTCCCCCCTGGGGGAGGAGGGGTCCCCTGGCACACCTGCTGGTCTCTTGCGGTCTACCAGCCTGAAGTGCATCTCCTTGGGGGTTGCTGAGGGCACGAGCCTGGCCCCAGAGAGGCTGAAGACCCGCTTCAGTTCCTGTGAGTCCCTCTTAGAATCAGAGCCCAGTGTGAGGAGAAAAACGAGCTCCCCCACCACCCCCAGGAACACGCTCTTGTCGCCCACGCTGCGTCCTCGGAGGCGCTGTCTGGAGTCCTCAGTGGATGATGCGGGCTGCCCAGACCTTGGCAAGGAGCCACTTGTCTTCCAGAACCGCCAATTTGCCCACCTGATGGAGGAGCCTCTAGGCAGTGACCCGTGCAGCTGGATGCTCCCAAGCCTCAGCTATGGACGCAAGGCCAGAGTGGACTTCGATGACTTCCTCCCTGCCATCCGGAAGCCTGAGATGCCCACATCCTTGGCAGGGGCAGCCAAAGATGGGCATGAAGGTTCAAAACATTCAGGTGTCCTCTTTGAGACGGAGGAGGCTGACCGCTCCTTTCTCTCAGGGATCAAGACCATTTTGAAAAAGAGCGCAGAGTCCAGGGAGGACCCTGCTCACCTCTCTGACTCATCCTCATCTTCCAGCTCAATCGTGTCTTTCAAAAGTGCCGGCAGCATCAAGAGCCAGCCAAGAAGCCCACGCCTTGAAGTTAGTGGTGGTGAGCGAATGTCCACTGAGAACAGAGAGTCGGGCACAGGAAGGAAAGATGATGACGTGGAGAGCATCATGAAGAAGTACCTCCCAAAGTAGGAAGGAGTGCAGGTAAAAGTGACAGGCTGGGACCCTCCTTGGGCCTAGAGAGTCCTCCCAGGTCTGGGAGCCTTGCAGAGAACAGGTGCTGCTTCTGCCTTTAACCCCACGACTGCTTGCTCCAGGGTTTTTGGAGATTTGAGCTGAAATTAAGTGTTGTTGGATGCAGGGCTTCTCCGAAGGGGCCGCCTATTTCACTGCACTTTAAAATACAGATGCATGGGAAAGCAGGAGAGTCCTCGGGTCATGCTAGAGGAGGTGTCGGGCTTCTAAAGCTTCCCCAGCTGAGTCTCACTTTCCTGTGCCCCTTCCACCTGGGAGTGACAAGGGCTGTGAGGCCTCTGCCACACAGTGGGAGACATCATGGAGGCATCACAGAGCCTCAAGAGGCCTGGTTGGAAGAGGCTGTAGAACAGTGGAGTCCACTCTTGCATCACATAAAAAGAGAAACTGAGGCCCAGGGTTGGGAGTAGGAGTCATGTGCAAAGGTCACAGAGCACCAGTGTGGGAGAAATCCTGCTTCTGTTTCCAGTCCTAATACTGGTTCTTCTTTGGAATAAACACAGAAAGAGGGATTCCTTGCTAGTAATGGCTTATTTTATTGAGTGTATGTATCAGCTAGTCGTTTAGGTTTCATGATATTCCCCAGATGGGGTCAGCACTATTTATTCCCATCTTTCAGGTTGACAAACTAAGGATCAGAGAGGTTAAGTCACGTATACAAAATCGCCCAGACAGAACTGAGATTCAAAGCTCAGAATTCTCCCTTTTACCTCAGTATTTTTCCTTGGGTGCATATTGCAAGTGACTTCCTGAGTGACATCAGAGCTGCCCAATAGCCCACAGCACACTTCTAGCTCCCAATTCTGACTCTCAGAACCCCAGGCTCAGGTGGTCAAGCAATCACATACAGTTGCTCAGTATACACACTGTCACAACCCCCAGACCTCTTGACCAGTGTGAGCTGCACGTCCCTCCTGGTGCACACCTGCTTCTTCGACAGGCATCCTTAGCCCATCAAAAAGTGACCGCCTCTCCCTGGAGACAAGCTGGGACTACATCAGAGCAAATGAATTTGACTTAACATGGCCTTCTCTCTGCTCTCAATTACCAAGTAAAGATCTGATATTCATTTACATTATTATGCACTTGGGGACATGGAAAGCAGTTTCAAAGGCCAAGTGAAGGGCACACGGCCATAAGGGGAACAGTGCTTAGCAGAAGTCATCACAGAACATCTTGTCTCTGCCATTTTTTTTAAAGTCTCAAGGCCTCTTCCTCCCCTGGGTGAGGTTCTTCTCGGAGGCTTCTCTCCATCGCAGCAGGGCCCCTGCCTACAGTTGCCTTGGTTTCCCAGTTGCCCCGCTCCCCTCACTGCGCATGGACAGTGGGCTCTGGAGCCAGAGGAGCCCTCAGACTTGGTCCTTCCCTGTACCCAGCCCTTCAACTTTGTGCAGGCAGTGGCATCTTGCCAAGCACCTCTGTCCTCTGCTGGAAATTGGGGATAACAATGCCAACCACCTAAAGTCCCTCTGAGGGCTTAAGGAGAGCATGAGAGACCTCAGCAAAGAGCCTGGTACTCAGTGGATGCCTTCATGCCTGGTTATCTTGTGTTTGGGAATTTGGGTCCTGTGCCAGTCAGATTTCCATTACTGTAACAAGTTCCTGAGAGAATGGACTTACAAGGAGAGAAGGGTTATTTTGGCTCACGATGTTGGAGGTCTGAGCCCATGATTGATTGGCCATGTTGCTTTCGGGCTTGTAGCAAGGGAGCATGTGCCAAAACTGCTCACCTATGTCTGAGGATAAAACGGTCAGAAGGGATGCCCTGCCATATAAAACAGAAAATTGTATATAACAATTGCCATATCTCCCTGCCAACAGGATGGTTTTATACCTGTGAAGGAATAACCTTCAATTATATTCTGGCCAATTTGACCAAGACCCATTGCTGTTTGAGTCGTCTAGCTGTGGTTCTACCAGATAGAACTGATTTGATTATGCCAAACAGAACTAAACGTTGGTCACCCTATACTGCACCAGGTTGTGATGATGATGTAGGTCTGTTGACAGATGCTGAAGTAATAACTATGATAGCATCTTTTGTTGCCTTGCCTTCTATAGGAGTCCATGCTGAAAAGGCAGTATGGAAATTAGCATGCAAGGCGGTCAAAGGGTTAAATGCTACCTCATCAGCCTTGGCATTAATTAACCAAGAGTTACAGGAACAGAGACAGGCAATCTTAGATAATAGGGCAGCGATAGACTATTTGTTGCTCTTCCACCACCAAGGTTGTGAGAAAATAAGAAATATGTGTTGTTTCAATCTGACTGACAATAGTCCAAAAATCAAAGAAAAGATAAAACAATTGGAAGACCTGGCTCAAAGGGTACATAATGAAGATGGCTGGGACTTGTTCCAATGGCTAACTAAATGGTTGCCCCACTGCAATAGTTAAAACAACTTTTTCTCGTCGTTATAGTTGTGTGTATATGCTTACTATTGTCATGCTGTTGTATACAATGGATGCCTACGTTTATACGTAAGATTACTTAAGTTGTAAAATCAGTGGGGAATGTGGGACTGCATAACTCTATAATCATAAAACTCCCCTAGCCCCAACTGTGATTGAATGTGAGTAAATAGATAAAGATGCTTGTTAGTTCAGGGACACTAGATAAGATCTGTATCAGCCATAAGGTCCCAAAGTAAATTACTCAATTCTTTGTTCGAAACTGATGTTTGGACACCGCTATCTATAGAACAATCTACAAACATCTGCTGACCATCAGTACATGTCAGCTGACCACTAACCTTTGTTCCTCTTCTGTAAATTTCACCTGTTAACTTCCCCTGCAACCCCCTATAAAAAGAGCCTCGGACTCTGGGCTAGTCGCCTCTCTAAGCTACTTTGCTTTGGGAGTGCCGTCTGGCCAGACTAAGGTCTGTTTTACTTTCAAAAAAACAAAACAAAACAAAACAAAAAAAACTGCTCACCTCAGGGCTGGGGAGCAAAAAAGAAAGAGACAGGGGTTCCACAATTCTGTTGAAAGGCACAATCCCAGGGACCTAAAGATCTACAACTAAGACTCACCTCTTAAAGCTTCCTCGGCCTCCCAGTAGCATCAGGCTAGGGACTAAGCCTTTACACATGGAACTTTGGGAGACATTTAAGGTCTGGTCTATAACAGGTCCTCTAGGAAATCTGTGTCAGCCTTTTGTCCAGTCTTTCCCTCCCATTGCCTGTGCTCTGTCATCTCGCTCGGTAGACCCCCGCAAAGAAATGCCACCTGGGAACACAGAACACCAGGCTGTTTAGCCCATCATTCTCCCCATCCAAACATCCCCAGCTTACATCCCATTCATTATCTCTGACCTGTTTCCTTCCAGCCTCCTGAAATGCCGCTGCCCTTGGAGACCTCCAGACTCCACAGCTGTTTGGAGAGAGACTGGCCAGGCCTCCCCAGTGCCCTCAGTGTGGATTCAGCATCACAGCCACCCTCAAGAGCCAGATGGACCCAGAGAGCCATATCCTGCTAGGGCTTTGGGGCTCCCTGTATGCTTGGTCTGTACGAAATAAAGTTGGTTTCCTTGGCATCCTTTCTGCTGACCACGGTCACCCATGGTCATCCATCCCTGACCATGCCACCTGGGGTGCTGGAAGATTGATGGGGTGCACTAGGGTATAAGGGTCCTCAAGAGTGGAATCAGCCCAGCCTGTCAGGCAGGGTAGACACTGCCATCGTTCTCCCCGTGTGTGTATATGCAGTAGCCTTCCTCTTTCTCTTCACCCAGCCACTTGAGCTGGAGCGTGGCCTCCTCCAGAAAGTCTTGCCAGATCACCAAACTGAAATAGATGCTCATTCTCCATGCTCCTTGAATCCCTTCCTCAGCTCTTTTGTTTTCCCCTATTTATGCATTTACATTGTGTGTGCAAAAATTTGTGTGAGCATGTAAGAAACTGATGAATGAATGAATCAATGAGCCAGTGAACAAATAAATGAGCCCATGCAGCCTGAAGGCATGGGGCACATTGATTTTTTATCTCTATAAATGTGCACTCACATCAACATTCGAGAACCTGTGATCACCCACACAGCCCTCCATCCACCTCCTCATACACAGAGCCCTACCACCCCCACCCCCACTCACACATTTAAACATACACTGGCACCAGAAACTACATCCCAGCACATCTTCCAACTTGTGGTGTAGAAATCTGTTTCTTCAAACATCTTTGAAGTATTCATGATAATAAAACTATCAACTAATGTTTTTTGATCATGTATTATGTGCTGGTTGCTGTGCTAAGCATTTTACATGGTGTGAATCACTGCAGCCTTACAAAGTCCTGAAAGATAAATGCACTGATTTATTCCCTTTTTACAAAGGTGGAACTGGCATATTTATCCTCGATTTATTCAGGTAGCCAGTGTTGCCTCTGTGTAAATTTCTACTAGACAGGCTCCATATCCTGCTCCTAACGTGCCTCCCGCCATCCCTAGGACCCCACTGGTGTGGCCAGTCACAGACCCATCTGAGGGAGGGAATTCCTGTTTGAATCACAGATGGATTCACTTACTAGGGCTGCAGTGACAAAGTGCTACACAGTGAATGCCTAAAGCAAGACAAATGTGTTGTCTTTCAGTTCTGGGGGATAGAAGTCCAAGTTCAAGATGTTGGCAGAATTGGCTCCTCTATAGGTGTCTGAGGACCTCTCTCTTTGGCTTCCAAGTAGCTGTGTTCCCCCTGTCTCTGCACATCATCTTGCCCCATATGTGTTTGTCACATACCCAAACTTCCTCTTTTGAGGACACCAGACACTGCAGTGGGGCCAGTGACCTCAGTTTAACTCAATTGCCTTTGTAAAGACCTTATTGCTAAGGTTGCTTGTAAGTACTGGAGGTTAGAACTTCACCACCGCCCCCCCGCCCCCAGTCTCTTCTTTGTCTCTGTCTTCATCTTTATCCACTTGATGTGGACTCAGACACTATCCAGCCTGTTCCAGCTGATTAGAGCTCAAGCCAACAGGGAGGGGCCTCAGCCCTGAACCCTCCCCAGAGGCTGTGGGTGGCAGTGGGCAGGGATGGAGGACGGGGCAGGAGGGCCCCTCTCTGGAAGATCTGGCTGTCTTGCTGCCTCTCTAGTGGAGTGAGTCAGGGAGCAGGGGACTGTTCTCCCTGGTGTGGGTACATTCTCCCCTGTGATGAGTTCACAGGCAGATGGTATCGGAGGATCAGCCACCCGCAGCCTGCCATTCATGGCGGGGCGGGGGGGGCTCCAGCTCATTAGATAGAACTGGAACATGTGGGGGCTGGGGCTGACATCAGGACCTCTGTGGGGAGTTGGAGGCCCTGGTGTGGAGGAAGGCACCATTCCCCAGCACCACACTTGGGTGTGGGTTCGGCATGGGATAGGACATGGCTCAGGTACCAGGCTCTCCTGAAGTTCCCTGTGGTGGAACACATGGAGTCCTGGCACCTCAGAGAAGTCCTTTCTCCTCCTGAGCCTCAGTTTCTTTATCTCTGCAATGGAAATAATAATAGGGAGATGTGGGGAAGGGAGAGTGCAGTACGTTGTGCTCTTTTGCTGGAGATGTCATAACAGAATATCACAGGGTGAGTGATTTAAACAATGGAGATTTATTTTTTCACAGTTTCAGAGGCTGGAAGTATGAAATCAAGGTGTTGGTGGAGTGGCTTCTCTGAGGTCTCTCTCCTTGGCTTGCAGATGGCCACCACTTGCTGTGTCCTTGCACAGCCCTGCCTCAGTGAGCATGCACCTCAGGTGCCACTGTGGGCTCAGGGTTAGGGTTTTCTCATACACAGATTGGATTAGGCCTCATCTTAATTTAATCACTTCTTTAAAAGCCTGTCTGCAAATACAGTCACATTCTATGGTACTGGGTGGTTAGAACTTCAACATAGTAATTTTCGAAGGTCTCAATTCATCCCATAATACATGCCACGCAAAAGTAGGTGGTGATTCGATTTATTATTCATGTGGTGATGAAATAAGTTTGTCCTCAGCTCCCAGCTAGTTCCCCCCCAAAAGCCATTAAGAAAGTCAGGAGCAGACTCACACTGCTTTGCTGGCATTGGCATTTCACTGACATGTTTTAGGCCTGGACGCTGTGAGTTTCCATGAGCTCCTCTGTGCCAGGCCCTGTGCCCACACTGAGGATCCTGGGAGCAGGCAGAGCCAACCTGCTCTTCTGTGAGACATGCCTCTGCTGGGGACACAGATGATAAACAAGGAAGTAAATATACTGTCAGAGAGCAAGGAGCGCCATGAAGAAAAATAAAGATGAAATTACCTTGTGGGTGCCCATTGAAAATTTGTAGGACATTTATTTATGAAATATATTTTTGTAAAGGAAGAAGCCTGTCATTGTTCTCCAATGATGTAAAGTGACGCCTCCAAAGATGTTAAAATCAAGCGGAGGCAACACAGCTTTCCTCACTGCTCAGCAGGAAATGGAAGTCCTGGAGATGCTCATGAAAGTCAGCTTACTATACTACAAGATGGTAACCAGGTTCATGCCTCAAGTTCCTTTCCTCAGGCACAGCCCAAAGCAGAAGGTCCCTCCTCAACTGGGTCCCCTGCCCTCCAAGCTACCTGCAGAAATTCTACAATCCTGTGTCAAGTGGGCAGTGTGGTTAGTCCAGCACCCAGGTAGTGAGCACCAGCCAAGTCTTCACTGCCACCACTTCAGCTACCAGGGACATCAGAATGGTTGAGCCCCTAGGGAGCCACAGTGAGTTCACTTCTTTCTGGATTTTTCTTTACTAATCTATAAGATGGGTCTATCCCCACTATCAGCCTCCCCACGTTCTTGTGAGCAATTAGATGTCCAGGAAGTATTTACCTAGCAATGGATGGTCCATATTCCAGCCAGCCATTGGTCAACAGTGGCATCTTTGCTCTCTGGGCTCATGAGTGCTGCTCCCCAATGCCCTGGTCTGGGACTTAAAGGTTCCCAAGGACAGAGCCACCTCTCACTGTTGATAGTGTGCGATGCATTCTGCCATTTCTCTCCCTGCATGTCTACATACATAAATTCCTCCTCCTCTTCACTTGGCCACATTCAGCTCAAGAGTGACCACCTCCAGGTGACTTCCTGGATACATGAGACTGAAAGCAGCGCTTTTCTCCATGCTGCCACACCCCCATCCTTAGCTCTGTTGTATCCCCTGACTACTTACTTTCTTACCTTGTGTGAAAATAAGTGTGTGTGAGCATTTAAGAAACTTTAAGACATGAGAACGAACCAGTGACAAATAAAGGAGTCGACACACTCTGAATGCATGGAACACACAGGCATGGATGCTTCCCCACAAATGAGGCCCTACTTTGACATGAAAGACTCCTTCTCTACAAAGGCAGAGCTAGTGTCTGTGTATCCACATTGGGGGAACCAGTGCTGCCTCTGGTGAAATCCTACATGACTATGCCCTGCTATGACTTCCGGAATGATACGAGCAAAGTTGTTTCAAAGATGAGGTGTTGGAGATCATGGATCCAGGTGGATTAGGCGGTCATCCCAAATATTTCCTCTTGCTTCCATACCCTGAGGTCATTTTTACAGGGTGCCAAGGTCTGAAAAGAACCCTAAACATGCAGGATGAGAAGGTCTCAGGTAGTTTTTCAAGGTGAGGAAATTGAGGTTCATAGAGGGAAAAAATTTGACATTTCTTCACTTAAACATGTATCGACTCTCCTGCCACTCCGTATCTCAAGCAGGCACTATTGCAGGCATGTGTAGACAAAGATGAGGATGGATGAGAAAAGATCCTGCCTTCAAGAAGATTATGGTTTCCTGGAGGAGGCAAGTGTCACCCAGTGCCCTAGTAGGAGTCCATTTATGTCTGGTGACCTCAGGCTCCCCAGGCTCACTCTCCAGGCCAACCCAGACCAAGCCCTGTCCCAAGACCCCAGCTCTTGCTGAGGCTCTGTATTCTTTCTCAGCTAAGAGACTATCTGTGGGAAGAAGAGGAGCAGGAGACTCATGACAGCCAGGAAAGCAAACACTCAAGATGTCACCTGGAAGGCTCAGGCTGTGATTAATGGCCCAGTCAAGCTCCTGTCACTGTCTTTGGAGCTCATAGATGGCCCAGGCTGTGGCCTACTCTCCAGACCCATTGCTTATTTACCTGTCAGCATGGCAGCTAGCTTCAGAGCTCAGTGACAGGTGCTAGGTAGCAGCCCTGGTGACACGGTGAGACAGTGACCCTGTCACCCTTTGTTAGGGACCATCAAAGCTTTTATTCCTTGCAAGTCAGTGACAGCCCATACATTGTGCTCAATGACATTCAAAAATCCCTTCTAAGGGGTAAGGGTTGGGGTTCTCCTGAAGCGTCAATCATCCCATGCGTTCTATACACAGGAAGAGAAATAGAAAATGACTCAAAATGTGGCTTTATAAATAGCTGCCTGTAGGCTTTGTGGTACTATTCTGGGCTCAGTAATAAAACTGTGCTGGTGTCCCCATGACTGCAGCTGGCAGAGATCAGTGGTATGGCTTATTTTGCTCCTTTTCATCTCCCAGAACTGAAGTTTAAGGTCATCCTCCCCAGCTTGCTATAAAGGGTAACAGGAGACC